TATGTATGGTAATAGTATATTTAAAACAATTAAAAAATGTAATACTCAGTGTCCATTACATTAGTTGCAACTTTGATATTAAAATGAATAATAAACATTAAATACATTTCTTTCTAAAAATGAATGATAAAAAAAATGTTGATATTTAACAATGACATTAAATATATGTGCTTCTTAAAATGAATCTCAATGTAGATTAAAACAGTTTTACACAATATATATATATATTAATTTACTTATTTCTAGAGGAAAATAAATAAAATACTTTACAAACCACAATAACTAGCCGTGGTTTACATTACTTTTCAGTTTTATGCTAACTAGTAATAATTTATTTTACATACGTTCGAATCCAATTATGTATTGTAATTTGATTAAAATGTTTCATTTGCATACTGTTTATGTTAAATGATCAAAATACTGCTTCCGTATTTTTATCTAAATTGAGAAATTGCTTATAATTAAATTCAAGAATATTATTTAAACTAGTAAACAAAACACAAATTACAAAAAGGAATGTGTATCATTTTATATAGAACAATGTAGTATTGAATCACATCAATTTTTCATATAAATTGGTTTTAATAAATACATTTCGTAAATGTAATTATGACCAAAGTACTGATGATAAAAATACTGTTTTGATGTTATACACTAATTTTATTTGTAAATGTTTTAAATTATTTCTTCAGTATTGATATATTTCTTATCAATACGCGAGTTAAATTTTACGAAAAACGAAGTACAAAATACAAATTCTATGAAGTATGAAATATAGAAATTGCTAATTGAATACTATGTTGCACCAGTTCAGCAGAACTATGACGCGCTAATACTAATGACACATGCATTACTTTAAAACAGTATGTTAATACCAAAAATATAGCATGATCTGTGTAGTAAGAAATAAACGTGGTTTTGAATATACCTAATCAGTTATGTTAAATGAATATGAAATTATATGTTACGCATATATGTGTATGCTCTAAAAAAAAGCAGGGCACAATGAGAGATTTGTAATATTATATGCACCGATGTAGAAAGAATTTGAAGTCTGAAACGTACGAAGTAGTAGATCGATGTAATGCAAAATTTGCATTATTAGAACACACACTGTCACAATGTTGTAACAAAAAAAAAAAAAATTTCACCAATTTTCTTTTATATGTCTGTTTTTATTTTGCACCAACATTTTCATTTGAGGTCAGTGACGACCTTTTTTCGAACGTTTTCGTTTCTTTTTCTTTGAAACAAGAACAGTATTTGCACTTATTTTAGGAGCGGCACCTTCAGTGGCACTTGTAGGTATTATTATTTCGTTTTTCTCCTGTGGAGTACTCACAGCAGAAGACTGTCCAGTAATTTCTTCACTTTCGCTTTCAGCGTCGCTTGCACCCGTTCCGGTAATACTTTCTACGTCGTCTTCTGCGTTACTTAATTCCAGTGAAATAATCTTTTCTCGCAGAGTTTCGACCTAGTTACACAAATGTATAAAATTGCAAATGCAAAAGAAGTTTTATCTGAAGTAGAACAGAAATATCTTTACACCAATACATATAATTACTAATTTAAACAATAACATAAATGTTTAATGTAAAAACAAAGTATGCTATATTACAGAATGAGATTTAACGTAAAATTTAGAAAATTTTACAACAGTAATACGTGATATGTACCAGTACCACTAAAATAGTTATTGTAAAAAGTATTACTTAAAAAGAATGTACCTTTATACATGCTTAAGTAACTAGTGGATAAGAAAAATCAATAGTAGCATTACCAATAGTGTGAGAAGAGTTTGTTAGTGATCAGTGGAAATGAAATCAATTGCTCAAGGTGGTGCAGGTTGCACTTCCATGGTCAGTGTTGGATTCTTGGAACAACAAACACAACCATTGAACTAGTGTTTCCAGTAGATTTTGTGCATTAAAGCAAAATATTTTTAAGAGCAACATGCATATACACACACATACACACACAAAATTATTTCAAATTTCATAGATTGTAAATATATGAATACATTGAAAAATGTAAATCTCAAAACCTTCTTTCACTTTATTTAAACTTTTATGAGTATTACCCTTTCCCAATTATGTTAATTTGAGCAAAAATTGTACTTGCAATCATTTTACCGTCCTTTAATTTAATTCTTAAAACTGTTTTATTATGACCTTATTACTTTACTTTTTTATGGTTTCTGTTATGTTACTGCTTGTACCAAAACTTCGAAGTGTTTCAATTATTTTTAGTTATGATATTTTTAATACACGCTGCAGTAATTTTTTTATTGATTTTGACTAAACAAAATACTTTCTCCTTAAATGTTTCTGTATATATTACACTATTTTTTTTTTTTTTTTTTTTTAGAGCCAATTAAATGCATTGAAGTTGCAGTACAATAGGTGGAAAATGAACTTCACTCAAGACGTTTCTCGTCTGTGATGTGATCAGGTAATATTTGGTGCTTAAATTTTGTGCAAGCTCTAGTATTTATAGTACCTGTCGCTCAATGAGCTTCTCGACGTATTCGACT